ATATTCGTATGTATATTTTATCGTTTAGGGGCTATTATGCATTTCATGGTTCTTTGATAAAGTACAGTCGAGTTCGCCTAAGTCGAATCTAATGGGACTGGCATAAAAAGTTCGAGTTATACAGATTTCGACTTGCACATTTTCGAAAAAAATATTAACATAGAACAATACTATGTGTACTCAATGCCCACAAAAATTGAATTTCACGCAAAACCGAACATTTTCTTAAGTCCCAAACTCATTCCTATTCTTCTTTTAATAAAATACTTTTCAAAAATATGAACTCCCTATTCCAAATCTCGGACGATTTGTCCAATTCAGGACGGTAACACTCACTCGAAAAACCAGACGATAGTTTAATAGACATCGTTTAACGACAAGCATAGCAGACGCTGTGAAAACGAGACGCTTAGCTATACTCGCATTGCCATGGAGATTATCTGTTGATTAACACGACACACCAGTAGACGTTTTCTTAGTTAATTATGAAGTGAAATTTATGCATTCCAATGTTTTAATAAGTGTATATTCTTGCTTTTAATCCTTAAAAACCATTTGGAATCAACCTGCAATAAAGACGGAACTCAACAAAGCAAGTTTCTACTGGTTACTCTTTTCAGTAGACGTCTAATTCAAATTCGTTAGATTCGTCGGTGTAAATTTCAAATGCACCTCATTCATTCTTTAAACTCAAGACGCTTTTCAAAACATGTTGCTAATTACGGAGGAAATTTGTAGAGAATAAAATATAATTTGTTAGGTTTATTTAGATTTGACTCTAAAATATACCATGAGGGTTTCTTATTTGTTTTTTGTTTTGTTTTATAAATTTGTTTAATTAAAACATTCTTGATTACACTGAGCTTGTTACTGTCACGGACTATAAAACTTTGGGCGATCTGACGTCATCACAGCCGAAGCACATGTCTAGTCTGCAAAACACCCCACGAAAATGGACCAATTGGCGGGCAGGAAGAGTTTTTTGGGGCACGACCTGTTCTGTTTACAACTAGACTGCCGACCAGCAAATGGCATTGCCCAACGAAGAATGTGTGCTTGGAAAAACATAATCAGACCTAAAGAAATGCATACAAAAACAATATAAAATTCGCATCAGTTTTATTGGTAATAATTAAATTTGCTGAGCAGTACAGCAAAACAACAGGTACTGTACGTATTACTGTATTAAATAACGTGTTGAATTTGCGTAGTCTAGGCAGTCAAAAGAATCCAGGGCTTTGATAAATTAATTAAATAGCTAGGCCCTGACTACAACAATCTTGTTCGAAATGGGTTCAGTACAAGTTTTACAAACTAAACTTGACGAAAAACTGAACATTGGAGCCGGTCCGGAGGGGTGTCTGTATTGTGAGAGTAGACTGCAACTTACGACATACGATCATGTGAGCCAAGTTCCACAGCGCGCTGTCTGAGGTGTTAGTTTGTCATGGCTAACTTGTTGCCGTACAACAAGGATTGAACTTCGTATTTTCCCACGGCTGTGCATTTTTCCCATGTGCGCTACTAAATTTGGAACTTCGACTTGTGTGGCTAAAATTACTTTAAAATCGGCCTATCCGGACAGGAAAATTCCGTCGATATAGCCAAAATTCGACTTATAAAAATTCGAATTAAACAAACAATTTACACAGTAATACATAGGAAAGAATTGGGACTTTTTAAAAAATTCGACTGACGCGAATTTTCGACTTAAACAGAGTCGACTTTGGCGGACTGTATAATACAAACACAAATATTGAAAAATGAAATAAAACAAAACAGGAGAGTTGAGGAAAATTAGAGATTGTCAAATAAGAATGATTTAAGACAGCGCTTAAAGACCATCAAATTAAAAACTCTTGAACAGATTGTGGTAGTGAATCCTGTGGGCTTGAAAGAAACTGAGTCTTGTATGTAGCTGATTGAAAAGCTCACTCTGTGTTTAAATTTAATATTGATGATGGTAGACTGCTTGGTAAAATAGGTTCAATGGTTAGTGAAATAGGTCAAATGAATAGACCAGCAGATGTCACTTTAACTAAGGAAGGTTATATGGTTGATGAAGGAAAGTATCATAACATGATACATTTCATGTAGATCTACCCTATTCAAAAAAGAAGAATGTTTGATAATTGACCACAAGTGAAATGGACGCAGAGAATTCTATAATTTTAGATCATTTAGTTACCTACAGTATTGGGTATAATCATTTTTATATATTATTTTTACTTTAGACTCATCGTAAGTAGTTACTGTAGATGTTAAAGTTTATTGTATGCCTAATTTAAAAGTACGTTCTTAATGTACAGCTAGTTTTAGTTATTTTGTTTTTTACATTTCTATTTTTATTCTAGGGTCAACAATCAATAATGTATCTCTAAGTTACTATGATAGTTACTACGTATATTCTCATGTACAGCTGCTGTAGGAGTCATTAAAATTTATTTCAATGATTACTATTCAAATTTTTATTATAGGGTCGCCAATGTATGCTCTGTTTACTTTCTAGATAATTCTTAAACACTATATAAAATTATCTTTTAATATGCATTTTCATTTGTTGATGAATAAAGAATTTAAAAGTTGTAAATGTATGCAATTACTTACCTGTTGATACTGTAACTCAAGTATGTCTTTTTTTTTCACACTATACAAGCTATGCATAGGCTGAAGTCTCCTTTCTTTGGCTAAAGGAATAGGGTGAATATATTAGTGTTCATGAGGTTAAGCTTCTTGTTACAGTAGTCTCTTGCTGACTCATGTGATGCACTTGACTGACAGTCGTCCAGATAATCAGCCCTGGGATGAAACCTAGAAAACATAAAAAGGACACTCAACAAAAGGGCGCTCATCTTGGGAAGGTTGCCACTCTGCCCTCTTCACGCTTGACTGAGCTAACATGCCCTAATAATCAAACCATAGCAACCAAACCGGACCCAGACCATTGGGACATAATAATAATAATACATTTCTTATATAGCTCAAACATAATTATCAAATGACATCTCAATGCATTTTACAAAAATTTAAAATGTATAATTTCAACAATTAATACATTAAAAGTACAAAGCATTTATAATTTAAACAACCATTCCATTTAAAAACACAATTTCACATGGCCTGGGATGTGGCCTACAGATATTCGTTTCCCCATAGACCCGGAAAGTATCTGTTACTGACCCGGGGATGTAATAATGGTGTGAAAAGGGCCGGGAGAAGGTTTATGTTATGTACCCAGGGCTCCAAATTGCATATTCTTGTGGCGGAGTTTGCGCTAACTGGCCAAAAAAAAATATTTTGGTTTATTCTGAAAATGTTTACACCATTATCAGTGGTATATTCTTTGCCTAGACCTACTGTAGTTGTGATGTACTAATGCACTGAGAGTACCAGGTCATCCAATAGATAGAAGCTTGCATCCGAAAACTCATTGGTCAAGGTTTACGAGCGCTGCAACCACACTACAAAAAATATCCTCACCAGTGATTTACAGTCATTAGAATATTGCCCTGCATAGCCGAAGGTAGCTGAGATTTGCACTGGGAGTTTACTGCTTGGAAATGTATTCCTGGCTAAAGCCCCGCTGGTGCCTGGTCCAGGTGGAGGGGGAAGACCACAACTGACATGTGCATAACTACCCATGCACGTGTCAGTGCCATAATAATTGCATGTCATGCGGTGATTACAAAAACCTAATGATTTTTTTAAATAACATTAAACTGAAATTATAACTATCTTACTGAGAGTTCATGAGACTCACTTGTCGATGCCACTGCGGGACTGTAGGCACACGCTTGCTACGTTCGTGAGCATCCTGTTGTTGAATCTATTATATAAGAACAACATCAAAAAGTGAATCGTGTGTGATATCCTACTGTATTATAACGCCCTTTGTTGAGCGGACTTGTTGCATGCGGAGATTATAACCGTGGTTCCCAAACTTTAATTGCATTTATTTATTTTACTCTATTTATTTAGGCACACAACACATGCACTAAGGATTGTCAATAGCGAATATATCACTGTCCTACTTGTAGGACAATCTCTTGCACAAGACAAATAGGCCTACACATATTGAGGTGCTTTTATACAACAAAATCTCAAAATGAGGTTTATAGAGAGTGGAGTTGTTTTTGGTCATGAGAAAAATTCCTTCAACACAGACAGGCATTGAACCCAGGACCCTCGGATTGGAAAACAAGCATCTTAACCAGCAAGACTTCTCTCTGAGCAATTCAATCCCGACACTCTGAGAAAGAATTTTTTTACATGGGGTTGAGACAACTCAACCTCCAGTGCTTGGAAGTTAGGTACATGATGTGTGTGTTATAGCCATTCTAGATGAAAGAAGACAGCACTGTCAGACACAAAAAATCTGAATGTAATTTCAACAATGATTTTTTAAGATCATTGTTGATATTCCACCAATAAGATTATAGATAGAAGATGATTCGCCACAAAAGTACAACATTAAAAAGTGGCGTCCTGGAATTCTAAAGAGGGAGTGTCTGAAAGTCAATTTTGGGGTCAATACCACCTTTTTATTTATAAATTCATTCAGGCAACTGCACAACTTTCAGCCAATCAACGAAAACAACCACCAACCATTAACATGAGAAATAACTTGCAAGGAAATCAATACGATTGTTCAAAATAGCGTTTATTTCCTAACATTCAATGAACTTTGTATGCTTTGGATTTATGTGATCCTTCATAAACCTTAGCTAGCCTAGAAATCGTAGCATGTGAAAATCGCAGTTCGGGGATCAAAGACCCTCGTGCACACCTAAACAGGCCATAGATATACAGGAGCCTAGACCTAGCATTTCTCAAAAAATCTCAATGTTGGGGCCAGTATCTTTTGGAGCATTAGCTAACCAATGGCAAAATTCTAAATTTCAATTTCCAATCGCACTGCCTGTTTACAATTTATACCCACCGTATGTCACGTGACCAACTTAGCGGAATTTGTCTGTTGCTTAACCTATCAAAACTTGTTGGTATGTTTCTTTTTACAGTTAAAACCCATCACTGAGGTTGAACTTCGTCCACTTTAGTCTCAGGAAATAGTTTGAGTATATGAAGGTGCTTGAGAAACTTTACAGCTTGTGAGCCTTGGCTAGCTTGTGATGTCTTTGCCTGAACATGTCCACAAAAAAATTAAGACCTACAGTTTCTAAATAAACAATATTGCAAGACAAACTTCAAGTCAAAATGATGAAAAGTAGAAAACAAATTTAAAGTGGATGTAATCGACTGACCTGGAGTCAAGCTGCATTGAGTCTGGTAGTTGATTCCATAGTTGAGAGGAAGGCAACTGAAAACCAGAGCCTTGCAGGCGTCAACGTTCCTATGCATGATACATGACTAAAAAAGTATATAGGCCGTGTATATATACACGTACATATACACATATATACGTATACATGTATATATATATGCGCGCGTACATATATACGCGTGTACATACATACGCGTGTATATACATATATACGCATGTATATTATACGTATACATACACGTGTATATACATAGACATATACATACATATATGTGTATA